TTTTCCCTCTATTAGTCAGGATGGTCCAACCATGAACAAACTCAGGCAGTGGTGCCTCCCTTCCGTCTGGTGTGATCGATTTTGGTCTGGAATTCTATAATGTTGAGGTGGTCAGGATTTAGCATCTCTGGACTCATCTCTTACCCTTCCACAGGAAGCTAGATGGACTCTACCAAGAGTATATTGTTAACACGAACTCATCTTTTCTCAGCAACACTCAGACTTTATATACCTACACTTTACAGTCCGGGAATCTGTTAGCAACCCCACGTCTTTGGCTTGGAATATTTCTTAGTGCTTACCACCCGGGCTCCCCTCTGCGGGTCACTTTTCTGCTTCCTTTCGCTCACAGGGCGTGGCTGTTGGCTGTACACAGTCAGGTTATCCTTTAGAGACGAGTTTGAGGAGTTTAAAAACAAAAGCAGAAGCTGTCTTTTTCCTCACTACATCTGGATGAATCACACCCTAGAGCACCCTGATAAACAGATGGAACAGTTTTTCTAAAGGGGAAGAGCCCAAACTGGAGGCCTAAGAAGTGCCTGCTTTAATTCCTTTACTGTTTGAATTTCTTACAGAGACCATAGAATAACGGGGGTCAGGCTCTTTTGTAACACTTTGTGATGTAGTTTTTGTCCTCTGAGCCAATCCACAGCCTGATGTAGCAGGTCAGTCCCAAGTACTGTTTAAGCTCCTCTACCTGATATCCTTGCTGGGTTGATTTTGGGTTTTTTTTTTTTTTCCATTTTCCTTCATGATTAAATAACCCCAATATTGTGCCTGTTTTTGTTTGTTTGTTTGTTTGTTTTTAACAAACTGTAAATTACTTTTGGAGACTTGTAGTCAAGGTAGTTAATGGTGCTTTCTCACACCCCCTTCTCTCCACTTGGCTCCATTCACTGTGTGCACTCACTGAGTCCCTGTGGAAGTTAGAGCTTGTCCAAGGCCATGGGTGTTTAGAGCCTCTGCAGAGCCCTGTGGCAGCCACGGGTCAGCAGCACTGTTGCTTGTCCTCCTACTTGTAGGATTTTCCCACTCAGAAGCAAAGCGATCTCCACTCCCTTGATCTAAGGGCTGAGCCCAAGATGCTTCCTGTAAATTCATCACACCAAGCCATTTGTGTTCAAACCAGAGCTTATGAAGAAGGGTGTAAGGATTTGGCCACAGGGTGGCAAGTCTGGACCATTTGCTTCACAGCTCTTAAGCCCTGTACTAGTCTGCAGATCCCATCAGGCTTTGAAACCGGAGAATTGGAGTATTACATAGTGACCTACCAAGGTTCAAATAGTGAACCTTATTGGTTGCAAACCTCTTTTTCCCTTTTGTAGAAATGGGGTATTGTGTGTGACAAACTATTTCTCCCAGGCCCAGATGATCGCCTAGAAGCTAAATTCTCACCTTGAACTCCTGGGATCCCATATGGGTGTTGGTTCGTATCCTGGCTGCTCCACTTCCCGTCCAGCTCCCTGTTTGTGGCCTAGGAAAGCATTTGAAGATGGCCCAAAGCCTTAGGACCACGTACCCACGTGGAAGACCCAGAAGCTCCTGGCTCCTGGCTTCGGATCAGCTCAGCTCTGGCTGTTGCAGCCACTTGGGGGGCAAACCAGCAGACGAAGATCTTTCTCTCTGTATATCTGCTTTTCCAATAGAAATAAATAAATCTTTTAAAAAAGAGAAAATCTTAAAATATATATATATATATTTCTCCCAGATGTTTAACTTGTAAGGATGTGGTTTCCATCCTCCCGGACTGCCCTCACCCACACCAGGGAATCAATCCTTCCACCTCCTCCCTCAGAACCCTTATTAGTACTTTCACTTGCCTCTCACTCATCCCTACTCTTAAATCCAATCTCACATTCAGATCTTGGTCCAGGGGACTAACTCCTGCTTCAGGAGCATGAAAAAGGGGCTTCTCGGTTTGTTTTGGCCCTAACCTAGCATTTACTTATTTGTTTTAATTTTTGAAACCCGAAATTCTTCCCTTTTACATTTGAAACAGTAAACTTTTCTTTGGAGAACTCCATGCCCTTTGGTTTTCATGTTAGAGGAGCAAGCATCACCCCAAAATGTTATTTCTTCCCCTTGGGATCCCTCCCTAAGCTTCATCAAGATTTCTGGCTGGACCCAGCTAAGGAATACCTCACCTCCTTCGTCCTATTTTAGACTTTTTTTTTTTTTTACTGGGAAGATAGATCTACAGAGAGAAGGGGAAGCAGAAAGAAAGATCTTCTACCTGCGGGTTCACTCCCCCAAACAGCCACTGAAGAACCTCAGTATCAAAATCTTAACCGTTTGCTCATGGCTCATTGCTATTAAAAAACTGTGAGCTTGCAGGCTAAACAGCCTATGTGACTTTTAGCGACTTATGTGACCTTTAGCACTGATGAGCCCCAATTCTTACGAATCAAGGCCCACCTAAGTCTGGCTAGCTCACAAGTGACTCCAAGTAATTAAGTGGGTGCTTCCCTTAGTTGCTGGAGGCAATGGGCTGGCTATCCAGCCGAGACAGGTAGGGAATCTGTGGTATTTCCCCTCACCTTGCAGGCTATTGTGAATTGCCCCTTTTCAAGCTAATGTAGACTGTCCCTATAAAAACCCTAAGAATGTTCTGTTGAGGGACCACACTCCCTATAGGGGTCAATCCTATACGGGTCAACCAGCTGCCTGCTCTTAACCAAGAACTCAGGTTCAGATGTGCTGAGCTTGAATAAATCATCCTTGTGCACTTGGATCGACTTCAGACTCCTGGTGATTATTGGAGATCTCAAAATCTGGGCACAACACTCCAACCAAAGGTCAGAATTGAGCCAGTCTGAAGCCAGGAGAGCCCCAGGTCTCCCAGGCGGGTGCTGGGTCCCAAGGCTATGAGCAGGGAGCTGGATGGGAAGTGGAAGCAGCATACAGATGGGGTGCTGGTGCTTGAAGGTGGAGGACTTGAGGTGAAGGCTTGCTGAGCCTTGGTGTTAGACCCCCTCTCAGGAGTCATGAGAAGGATTCTTCCCTACCCCACCCCCCTTGCTCTTTCTGGGCACTTCCTCTTAAAAGACCTGGCTTTCCACACTCGCCTGTCCTTTTGTGAGAATTTAGTATTTTCCCACCTTTTCTTCAATGGGTCTTCATCTAGTCTCTTCTTGACTACTTCCTCTACAAAGGACACTGCAATACTTAATTTTTGTTTTTCCTCCCCTCTTCTCACAAAAACTTTGTAATTGAGTTTCTATGTTGCCCCTCAATCTTTTGCAGTTTTTTTTTTTTTTTTTGGCAGTGCAGTTTTGGTCTTTTCCCACTGGGTCTTCAGGAGTCAACCCAGAATACTTTGTTATTTGCTTTCTAAGTCTTTGCAGGAAAGTGGAAGGCGGTTGATTGCATTTGAATTGCCTTTGAGAGCAGCCAGCAGGAGCTCAGCCCCAGGAGATCCACCTGCGGTCCCCCTGCCTCTGGGCTCTGTCCCCTGAAGGAAGCACTGGTACCCCAGTTGGGATCATTATTGGGGCTTGTGTGTCGGACTAACCAGACCTCACTCGCTATCAAAGAGGGTGTTCTAGTTCCCCAAACGACCATTTTCGTTCCTGTCTGCTCTCCTGTAAGTAGGCCTTTTAGACGTTATTTCAGGTCGGGGTTCTGAGAACTGGTCTAACTATTCAGCCAAGCCAAGATGGTCCTTTAGCCGGGACTGGATTAGGATGTTTGGTTCCTTTTGTTTTAAAAGTTTCTGACTTCAGTATTTGCCACAAGGGCAACCACAGACGTCATTTCTCCTGGTCACTGGAGACGTCCTGGACAGTGTAGAAGCGACAGGGACATTCTCCCTGTCTTTTTGCTATCACTCTCAGAGGAGTGTGTGAGGATCTGCAGCGGCAGTTGGATGGCTCCAAATGTCCTTTCCTGAACTGCCTTGCAGGCTCCTTTCCCTGGGGCTCAGGCAGGAGGCAAGCTTGGCATGGGCCACCCCTCCTCTCTCTTGAGTGGGAACACAGGACTGTATGGTTTTCGATATTTTTTTGTTTTCAGTTGTTTTAGCCAATAGAGAACATAAATCCATTATTTTTCTTTATTTATTCGTTTTGTTTGTTTGTTTGTTTGTTTTTTTGGTGAGGAAGGGGTTTTGCCATCCACTTAGAGAACTAAAGCGTAGCCCATTCGGTCCTCCCCTGCACTAAACTTGGGTCGGGTTCTTCTGGGCCAAGCCTCTCCTCCTTTCATTAGGGTTTTCTTTGTCTTTCGCCTGGGGGAAGTGTCAGAGGACGCCCCTCGGCCCCTCCCCCTGCCTGGATTCCAGAGGCCTAGCCTTTTTATTTATCGTTTTCCACCCGCCTGGGTGTCTTGGGTTTACTAGTGCGCGCCACCAGCCCGTCGGGGAGATTTCGGGCACCCCCTTACTGCTACCCCGGGCCAGTTCCGTGAGGTATACGGGATGAGTCGGTCTCTGACCCACTTCACAAAACACGCAGCCCACCAAGGCAGCCTCTCAAAGTCCCACTCCCCCACCTCGGCTCGGGTCCGAGGTTGACCAGTTGTCTTCCAAGTAACAGGGTCGGACTATTTTTCACAGAACAGTGAAGTTCTAGGATTTTTTTTTTTTTTTTTACCTTCTTTCCGGGTCTCAGAAACAAACCGCGAGCAGCAAGGAAAGGTCTAAGCACGCTCCCCCAAGTCCGGGTCCCCGCCGCTCCCCTCCCCGCCCCGGAATCCATGCAAATCAGCTGCTACCCCCGAGGCAACCCGAACCGTTTTCGCGCCATTGGCTCAGGATCCTGCAGCTGCATAAAAACATGGGTCCTCGCAGCTCGCCGGCGGCTCCGTTCTCAAAGAAGCCTTTAGTACTCTCCAAGGCTGCCCTCTGAAACCAGACTAGCTGGGGGGCTGAGCTATTTTTTCAGGGCTCGAGTGCGTCTGGAGCCCCCCAGCCCTGTCAGCACAGCTTGCAGGACCTGCGCCCCAACGCGGGAAAGCCCGCCGGAGCCCCGCCCCTCGGGGGGTCCGCTGGCCGCACTCCGCCCGCCCGGCCGCGCGGCTCCCGATCCTCCTGCGCCTGTGCGACGGCGGCGCGTGCGGCTGCTCGGCTCTCCCGGCTGCCTGTGCCGCCAGCATGGAGACTCGCCGAGTCCTGGTGAGGGCCGGGGCGCGCGGGGGTGCTGCACGCGGGCTGGGCGGCCGCGCGCCGGCGCTGCTCAACTCCGCTGCCCGGGGCTGCTTCTCAACGCCGGGCGCCTGGGCACGTCCTCCCCATCCCCCCACGCAGGGCGCGGGCGCCGGGGGCTCACTGAGGGTCTGGGGCCCCCCCGGCACGCGCGCCAGGGTGCGGGTGATGTGCGGGTGCAGGCCAGCTGCGGCGCCCCGGGCACCCTGGGCACGTGCGCCCGAGGTGCACGTGCGCCGGCCAGAGGTCCGCCAAATGGCCGAGTCGGGGTGGTGGTCTGCTGCTGCCCGCCCCGGAGGTTCGCCCCGCGCACCCTCAAGCCGCACGTGGCTCAGGGGTGGAGGGAGAAGGAGTCTTGTGTGGCTCCCTTGGCGTGCGGAGGTGGCCCTGGCGGAGGTGGCTTCTACCCGCGGAACCTTGGGCTATTTGCAACTTTGACGACTTGGCAAACTTGGGCTGCGCACTGGTGGCGGGGGAGGTCTTTTAATCAGTCCCAGACGATTGTTAAGTGCAGTGGAAGCAAGACGTGGTTCAAGCTGATCGATCATCCTGCGCTTCGCTGGTTTTGCGCGTCTTTTCTCCTACCCCAGTACTCCACCTCCCCCCAAACCACAGCCTTTTTCCGCAGTTGTGGGACGTTGGCGCTACATAAAAGGCTACTTTGCTTTGTGCTAGAAACTGTAGCGTTGAGTCTACCACTGGAGGAAGGATAGGAGAGTGGGGCGGGGGTTGGGTAGAAAGGAAGCGAGTGACACGCTTAAAATAAATATCAAGGATTAGAGACCCACGTGGGGAAGCTGGGGTATGCAGGGAGTGGGAAGCAGGGGCGTGACTCCAGAGCGCTGTGGATGCCTACCCAAAGAGAACTGGATTTTGGCTTTGGGGAGTGGCTGGGCCTCGGTGCAAACGTGGGCCCTGGTGTGTGCTGAGGACTGCACACATCTGTAAGCTGTGTTCTGCTTTGTGAAGTTAGGGTGGCACTTTGGCTGCAAAGACCTAAGCGTGATAAGAGCGCATACTTGACACAGATTGCCCAGGCACCTGCCCGCTATAGAATTGGTTATCGGTCCTGCCTGTTCAGCCCAGGCGCGTGCTGGCTTCCTTGGCAGTTGGTGACCACAGGCCTCCCCTGGGGCGAGGCTGTTGTGGGCCCACGGCTTGCAGGTGGATTAATGAGGGAACGTTTAGAACTGTCCTGCGGTTACAGGCACGGCCCCTTTCTGCTTCGTGATCCTGCGCCGCACGTCCCACCTGCGAACCTTGACTTTGTCGCCTGGGCAGTGGGAGGCTTGTGAAACTCCTTTTCGCCCCTAATACGGATGCTCTCTCCTTTGTGTGTAGCTGTGATACGGAGCAGCTCTGCCTCTTAGCTGGGCCTCTTGCCTTCCTACAGGAACTTCAGACACAATTTCCTGAGTTGATTGGAGGCGGTCTGTTTAGGGTCTTGGGAGAGTGAGTGCCTCCACCAGTGTGTTCAGTTTTTTCGGCAAGATGCCAAAAAGCACACTGCTGGGTGAAGCATGTCCTGTAGACCTGGCATCTTGCAGTCTATGGGACCCATCGCAGAATTTGCCCTCATGGACAATACAGCATTTACAAAACTTCCTTAAATGTTGGGGAATGGCGGTACAGGCTGACAGGCTGTTTCGTGTTTATGAATGAGTGCTGCATCTTGGCACTTACAGATATGTTAAACTTTACCCTTGCCAACAAGGGTACTTGCAGAAAGTGGGGCAGGCCAGGGGCAGTAACTGCTCAAATGCAGCCCGCTCTTCCTCCCTGCTTTGGAGAGCTATCTGACCATTCTTCCTGGCTCCTTATGCCGTTGGTTTGCTGGGTTGAGTGGATTTGTAAGGACTCGTAATGTCTGTATACCTCTCTGGATTGGAACAATGCCTTGTTAGGATGGAAGCTTGCCTTGGTACCGCTGCAGGTCCTACCCAGTTTTACATAGTTTGGGAAATTGGCATCATGGTTACAAAGCCCAGAGCCTGCATAAGAAGACCTCATTGGCTTGATTTTGGTTGAGGGAGAAAAATCACTGCCATTTTGTGCTCTCGAAATTTCCTTTTAGAAGTACAGTTTAATTTGCCAAAGAAAAGATTGGTTTTTTAGAGATTGGGCTGGAACTTCTGCAGGGGCTCAAAATAATGGAAGTTTGGGGCACTGCACTGGGAGCTCCCCGGATGTTTGACTACAGTGAGAAATGCCGTGGGAGTTTTCTGCACAGGGATGCCTGCTCCTCAGCATTTGTCAGGAGCCTGAACGCTATTTGGCAGCATTGGCACCTCTTTCGTCCTCTGGTAGGACCCATCCACCTTGCGCTGTTTGGCCTTACTGAACTCAGAAGTGAGGTCTTGCGTTGGCACCTACGATCAGCATCCCACTTCACTGTTGACATTTCCATTTGCAGCGAAAGGACCTCCGCGGGAAGAATGTAAAGAAATTCAGATATATGAAGTTGATTTCCATGGAAACCTCGTCCTCCTCTGATGACAGTTGTGACAGCTTTGCTTCTGATAATTTTGCAAACACGGTAAGTGCTGCCTGAGAATAAACAGAATTGAGTCTGCAGTGCTCCAAATGCCCTAACTGCTTTGTGCATGATTAAAACTGCCTGCTTTCTGCCTGCATATCTATACAGCCACAAGGAAAGTAGAGTATGCACTGTAATTTCATTTCACTTTTTGCTGTGGTTCTAGGTAGTAATTGTTGGAGGTAGATTAGCTACTTATTCTCTCCTTTTGAAATGTTGCCTAACCCAACATGCCTGATGATTTGCCATAACAACTCAGAAATCATTTGTAAACCCCTGAACCATTTTTCTTTGTAACAAAAGCCATTCTCTTGTAGTGCACTTGTAAATGTGATTTGCTTTCTGCACGGTTTATGGAAAATTGGTTCTTGAAAATGAGGAGAAAAAAAATGCACAACCCCATTTATTTATTTATTTTACAGAAACCTAAATTCAGGTCAGATATCAGTGAAGAACTGGCACATGTTTTTTATGAGGACTCTGATAATGAATCTTTCTGCGGCTTTTCAGAAAGTGAGGTGCAAGATGTGTTAGACCATTGTGGATTTTTACAGAAACCGAGGCCAGCTGGCACTAGTGAACTGGCCAGTATTTTTCATGCCGACTCTGATGATGAATCATTTTGCGGTTTCTCAGAGAGTGAGATACAAGATGGAATGGTGAGTTCAAGAATTTCACCACAGCTGAGAAGCAAGGTACACTTTTAGGGACGTGATATGTGCTTGGCTTTTTAAACGGTTTCCAAGTTTGCATTTTATTCATGCTGAAAGATTCTGTTGACCTTTCCCAAAATTTCTGCACGTAGTTTCTTCATGTTTTAAAGCATTTTCTTTTACTGATATAGTCCTGCTTTTAAATCTTGAACGTTTTTAATCTCTAAAAATCTTGGAAACCGGTAAGATAATATAATTTGGCCAGCCTCCCAGTTTCCCTCGCCACAGAAACACAGGCTAATCACGGGTAGCACACGCATGTTCCAGAGATTATCTATACACACCGGAAGTTCTAGAGCACAGCACCTTGCCTGGCCCAGAGCAGGCCTGTGATAAGGGCCGATTCCCACAGCATCTACCCACCTCAGGAAAAGCCACCTCTGCTGGGAAGTGCCAGCACACACAGTGTCAAGTAGAGTCCTTCTTGCCTCTGTGCTCCTTGGTCGGCTTGGGCTGTGCATGCCCCCTTGCCTTGCACCAGGAGCTCCTATCCCACTCTGGCTGCTGAGTCTGCACCCCACTCCCACTCTCCCAGCATGCCCTTCAGTCCTACAGGCATCTTCCTGTCCCACACACGTTCTCAGCAGGGGAAGCAGTGCCTGGTGTACAGCTGAGGGCACACTCTGGAGTTCCATTGGATCTGACACAGGTCCCCTGCCTGTGGCCCACAAGGAGACCATGCCTGGCTGAGGGCTGTCTGTCACTGGCTGTCCATGGATGTGTCTGTTGACTAAGTGATGAGGGCGCAAACTGGCACTTACTGGAGTGTACTGCAGGACCAGTCTGCAAATTGGGGTGGGACCCAAACATTGTCAACCACCAGAACGGCTTCTAGGCAGCATTTCAGGTTTAATAGGTGCTGTTTGCTCTGATTAAGAAAATGTCAATTGATGGAAAGTGTTCATGAAAGTTTTTGTTTCATATCCTCAAAATCCTTGCACATGAAAAGTACTAAAAGCCTTGGAAATTAAGAAAGTCTCTGAAAATTGCAAAAACAATAAATTTTTTTTTAAATTCTTTTTCTTAACCATCACTTCAGCTTAAGAATATTTTCATCATCCTAAAAAGAAACTACTCATTAACACTGTTTCCATCCCTTCCCACTGCCCTCACCCTTGGCATTGCTGTCATGATCAGTTGTGCTGTTCTGCAATTCCATGTAAATCATTCGATGGGTGCTTGGGTTGTTTACACCGCTTGGTTATTGTTATAGCAGCTGTGAACATTTTTAGGTGTAATTTTAAAAAATATATTATTTCAATTCATTAGAAAGGGAAAGAAAGATCTTTTATATGTTGATTCACCCTCTACACGGCTACAACAGCCAGGGCTGGGCCAGGCTGAGGCCAGGAGCTCAGAACGCCTTCTGGGTTTCCCACATGGGTAGCGAAGGGAAGCACCTTAGCAGGGAGCCTTGTTGGAAGGAGAGCAGCTGGTATTCGAACTGGTGGTCCCATATGGGATGGCAAATGTCTCAGTTAGTGGCTTAATCCACTGCACCACAAAGCTGGTCCCCTTAGGGTTTTTCTTGTTTGTTTGGTTTTCAAAGTATGATTTATTTAGGAAAGAAAGAAGGAGCCCCTGTCTTAGTGACAGGAGGGTGCTCCAGGGAGGAAAACAACTGAACTAATGGTGTCTTATGCAGTCTCGGGGAGGGGGTTGGCATGAATCACCCCCAAGGGCAGAAAGAAAAATAACTTATTTGCTATGGACAGTAATTTTTACTGCCTTGCCCCAAAACAAAAGGTAAGACCAGTGGCTTCTTTTCCTCATAGTGAAGATAAATTGAGGTGGCACAATTCCTTTTTCTTTCTTTTTTTTTTAATAATAATTTATTGTTATTAGAAAGTCAGATTTACAGAGAGAAGGAGAGACAGAAAGATTTTCCATCTGCTGGGTCACTCCCTAAGTGGCTGCAACAACCAAAGCTAAGCCACTCTGAAACCAGGAGCTTCTTTCCAGTCTCCCATGTGGGTGCAGGGTCCTGAGGTTTTGGGCCATCCTGTACTGCCTTCCCAGAAGACAAGCAGGGAGCTGGATGAGAAGTGGAGCAGCCGGGACATGAACTGGTTCCCAAATGGGACCCTGGTACATTCAAGGCAAGGCTTTAGCCACTGAGCCATTGCACCAGGTCCATGTGTTCTTTTTGTGTGGCATTGCTGGATCATATGATGGCCCTGTTTCACAGTGCCAGGAAGCTGATAGACTATTTCCCAAAGGGGCTAACCCCTCTACATTCCCACCAATACTTGTTATTCCTTCTTTGTCTTTAAGATGTGTTTAGTTCAAAGTTAGAGTTTCAGAAAGATAGATCTTCCTCCCAGTGATTGGCCGTTACTAAATGGCTGCAGCAGCCAGGGCTGGGCCAGGCTGGGCCAGAGCCTGGAGCTTCTCTGAAGCTCTCACCTGGGTGCAGGGGCCTAAGTAATTGTGCCATCCTCCTCTGCTGCTTTTCCCAGACACTGCAGCAAGAAGCTGGGGTTTGAAATGTGATATCCCTTGGGGATGTTGACACCATAGGGAGCAACTTAACTTGCTGTGCCACATGCTAGCCCATTTATTTCTCTTTGATTTATGAGGGGTAATGAGGTAGTATTTCTTTCATTTTAATTTACATTTTCTAGGGGCTTATCTTGATACATGTTAATGACACAAACATACTACCTTTGGAACGTAGAAGCTTTATTTTATTATAAGCTTTCCAAAAGTGAGAGAAAGATCTGAAGTCAAATCTAGAGACGAAAAGTAGGCTGCTACCTGGGGGTCTGGGCATGCTGCTTTAATTTGAGAAGATGCAAATGGTGTGAAGTGCAGCTGAGAAGCTAGCTTGAGGCTGATGGAACCGAACTGGCCCCCAGGCAAGGGTGCTCTAGAGCTGGGAGTGTTCATCCTGTGCCTTTGTTGGAAAGTGACTGTGATCCCACTGGGCTGGTGCAGTGTATCCACCAGTCCTAGTCCTGAGTGCCAGTAATGACTTGCTTGTTCTGATTACCCAGAGACTGCGGTCGGGCCGCGAGCGCTGTGGGACCCGGAGCCAGGGCAGACGCCCTGGACCGCTGCGGGTGGCGCTGAAGTTCCCAACAAGAAATGGCAGGGGAGCTAGTAAAAAAAATGTGGCACCCCCCCAGCCCTCGGAGAATTCTGCGACTGATTCCAATTCTGATTCGGAAGATGAAAGTGGCATGAACTTTCTGGAGAGAAGGGCATTAAACATAAAGCAAAACAAAGCCATGGTAAGTAGCTGCTGTGATTTCGCTCTTGCCAACAACTTGTCCTGTGTCCTCAACGTTCCCTGGAGCAGTGTCTTCATCATGTGTGCTTGGAAATGCATTTTGTTCCCTATATTGACTTAAAATCTATTACTGAAAGCTTGGCAGAAGGGTACAGGGACAAATCAGAGAGTCTTTGGATGTGCCAACTTGTTCTTCACCATGAAGCCATTAGTGTTCACCTTTAGTGAGTTGCTGATTTTCAGCAGTGCTTCTAAACCAGTCATTTCTGTTGGATTTCTTCTTTCTTTGTAGCTTGCAAAGCTCATGGCTGAATTAGAAGGTGTGCCCGGCCCCTTCCCTGGAAGACGGTCTTTCCCAGAGTCCAGCTCGGTGAGTCCGTGTGTAGGTGGGCCTCGTCCTGGCCAGGCCTTGGCAGTGATCTGATGCACTCTAGATCATGTTGAGAAGGGGAGCTAGCAGAGGCCCCGCCGGTCCCTTTGTGACCTATCCTGGGGCATTTGGCCTCCTTTTGATTGCCCCTTTAGAGCAAAAGGGAAGATTGAGAACTCTACCACATACCCGGCTTTAACACCTTCCTTCTGCTCCTCAACAGGGTCTCTGTAAATGTTTTCGAAATCCAAGAATGAGGAAAAGCAAGAAAGCCTCATTTCCAAGTCCTGGGGTTAATGTGCCTCAGTGTGTGCAAAGCAGCTAAGCTGATGCCAGTGCGGAGTGTGTCTTCTGTGTATAGGACAGACTTCCTTTCCCTGCCTCCCTGCAGCAGGAAGGAGGGAGGAAGGCTCACGTGCCCCAGAGTCTCCTGTGACACAGAACCAGCGAGTGTGTGTCCCAGGGCACACATCCTGTCGTAGAGAAAGGTGTCTTTGGCACATGAGATCAGCTCTTGCAGCTTCCTTTGAGTACAAGAACAAGTCCCATCTTCTCTCACTTGGTGTTACAGAAGCAGAGCTGATGGCGGCTTTCTGCTCGTTTTCTATGCATGATAGTAAAAGCAAAGACAGCAGAGCTTACTCTGAGGAGGGGGTGGGTTTTGCAGGCCAGGCTCCTCCTCATCCTGCATTCTGTCCCGTGTGCTTTGTCAGAAGTCCAAGACACCCCGGAGACGCACATTCCCCAACGTGGCATCCAGGAGAAACCCAGAACGCAGAGCCCGTCCTCTGACCAGGTCACGGTCACGGACCCTTGGGTCCCTGAGCGCCTTGCCCATGGAGGAGGAAGAGGAAGAAGAGGAGGATAAGTACATGTTGGTGAGGCAGAGGAAGCCCGTGGATGGCTACATGAATGTGAGTGCTCCCGGCAGTACTTGCCCCTCTGATTTACACCTCTCACGGTCCCGGGGTTTCCATCGTAGCCACAGGTACACACGGCCTCAGCACCAGACATCCCATGGGGAACACTGCTCTCAGACCCATCGAGATTGTCACTGATGTCACTCCGGCTTCTGTGACGATCATGTTGGCAGACAAGAGTCGGGTTTTCTTATGCCTTTTTCTAAGTTATACTCAAGAGTAAACTTAAGACTGGCCATGCTGGTAAGCGCTAAGATAGATTGTCATGGGCTGGGCACAGTGATGTAGCAGGCCAATCCTGTGCCTGTGGCCCTAGTATCCCATATGGGCCCAGCTGCTTTGCCTCTGATCCAGCTCCCTGTTAACGACCTGGAAGGGCAGTGGAGGGTGCCTTGGGCCCCTGCACACACATGGGTGAAGCTTCTGTTTCCCAGCTTTGGACTGGCTCAGCTCTGGCCATAGCAGCCATTTAGCGAGTGAACCAGTGGATGAGAGATCTTTCTGTGTATCTCTTTCTCTCTACTACTCTCTCAAGTAAAAGAAAATAAATGTTTTAATCAGGTTGAATCCTCTGCAAAGAAATTTTAAGAGTATAGTGCCTGAGATTCAGTGGGCTCACCATCCCATGTGTTTTTGCTACACAGGACGATGACATGCCAAGAAGTCGCCGGCCGGGATCCATGACCCTCCCGCACATCATCCGCCCGGTAGAAGACATTACAGAGGAAGAGTTGGAGAACATCTGCAGCAACTCTCGGGAGAAGATATACAACCGTTCCCTGGTAAGGAGCCCTGAGCCCTGTCTGCACAGACAAGTGCCTATCCCTGGAGCATTGTTGAGTTGCTGAAGGTCTTGGGCTTGGCATCATGGTGCATCTGGTTATGCTGCCAGGTGGAATTTCAGCAGCTCTGCTTCTGATCCAGCTTCCTGCCAATATGCCTAGAACTTAACTCAAGGAACAATGCTCATGCCATCATATAGAAGACCACAATGGAGCTCCTGGCTTCAATTGGCCCAGATTTGACTGTTGCGGCCATTTGGAGAGTGAACCAGTGGATAGAAAACCTCCCTTCCCTATCCCTTCTCTCCCTCTACCTTTCAAATAAATGAATAAATATTTTTGGGAAAAAGAAAAGTAAAGTGCATGGGCTGTGTGCCCTTTTTTTCCCCTTTCAAGAGAAGTAGTTTTGTATGTTCCTGAGTTGAACCTTCTGTTGTTTGAATTGTATGCTTAAAAAGTATTTTCAGTTAATCTGGAAAGAATTAACTCAGCATGTTTATCTTGTACACCTATTATGGATGTCTGCCTGGATTCAAGTTGGGGTAGTAAGGTAGGAGTGTACATGGAGAGATACCAAAGATTTTGAACAACAGACTGGAGCAAGTTCTTTTTGCGTTGATCACATTATTTCTGGAAAGGAGTAGTTTTCATGTTACTGACTCCGGCCTCTGAGAGCATCATACATAAGAGATATCTCAAGCCCTGGCTGACCCTGAATGCCACACCAGACAATCAGATAAGCCATTTTTGTTTGTTTGCTTTCTTGTGATTTTTAAAAAAGATTTATTTGTTTATTTTTATTACAAAGTCAGATATACAGAGAGGAGGAGAGACAGAGAGGAAGATCTTCCGTCCGAGGATTTACTCCCCAAGTAACTGCAAAGGCCGGTACTGCGCCGATCTGAAGCCAGGAACCCAGAACCTCTTCCGGGTATCCCATGCGGGTGCAAGGTCCCAAAGCTCTGGGCCGTCCTCGACTGCTTTCCTGGACCACAAGCAGGGAGCTGGATGGGAAGTGGAGCTGCTGGGATAGAACCAGCGCCCATATGGGATCCCGGCGCATTCAAGGCGAGGACTTTAGCCACTAGGCCATGCCGCTGGGCCTGTGATTTTTTTTTTTCTTCTCATTTGTTTTGTTTGTAGGGATCTACTTGTCATCAGTGCCGCCAGAAAACCATTGACACCAAAACCAACTGTAGAAACCCAGAATGCTGGGGCGTCAGAGGCCAGTTCTGCGGCCCCTGCCTTCGAAACCGTTACGGGGAAGAGGTCAAGGATGCTCTGCTGGACCCGGTGGGTGCCTTGAAGGGACTGAGGGACAGAAAAGGGATGCTGACAGCAAGACACAGGCCCTTACAGCACAGGGTGTTTTTTCATGGTGTCAGTGCTGTCCAGATCTGGCAAACCTTTTACTCCCCAATGGCTGTGTCACTTTCTCCTGGATATCTTCAGGCTAATACTCTATGCTGTTTGCTAGTTTCTGTTTAAGAAAAAGTTGAAATGACTTGGTGCCATTAGTCTTTGCCAAGTTTTTTCTTACTGTGATGAGGTTCCTTAGTGTTGTTTAGTGACTGGAAAAACTTGATTTTGTGCTGCTGGAGGTTCAGGTGCAGGCAGTAGATGGAGGTAGATGGCAGTAATAGGGGCCCATGTGCAGGAAGGAGCACTGGGCCAGCTGGCTGCGGAGCCAGCACTGGATCCTGCCTGGGCAGTTTTCAGCAACCCTGTCCTGGCAGCCGCTTGCAGTGCCCACTAGACCCACCCACCTCATAAGCCTCATAATTGGATATGTTCCTCCTTCTTGAATACCATTAATCTGTGGCTTTGAGGTTTAAACATTGCCCACCTTAAATGAGGTAGGAGAGGTGAATGCAGCCATCCTGTAACAGTGTCTCGTGTAACGGTGCTTATTCGCCATCCTGCAGAATTGGCACTGCCCGCCATGCAGGGGCATTTGCAACTGCAGTTTCTGCCGGCAGCGAGATGGGCGGTGTGCGACAGGGGTCCTGGTGTACTTGGCCAAATTCCACGGCTTTGGAAATGTGCATGCTTATCTGAAAAGGTAAGGGCTGTTTTCTCTTCCCTTCTCTGCCTGAAGTCAGAGAGGTGGGCTGTGTCTGGAACAGGAGGGTCAGTGCATGAGTGGAAAGCCTGCCTGAGGAGTGCTGGTGAGAACGCAGGCTAGGGTGGGGGTGTCTGCGCAAGCCAGGTTGTACTGAAAAGGTACGGGCATTTGGCCTTAGATATGTTGATTTTGGAAAAGGAATTAGACTTTTGGATTGAAAACTAAACCTTAACATGTTGCCTTTTCTCCTGCACAGTCTGAAACAGGAATTTGAAATGCAAGCATAATGCCTGAAAGAGTCCTGGAAACTCAGAGCGAGTTCCTCTCCTGTGATGCACGTGCGTTCTGGAAATGTCCAGGAAGGAGTTTGGCCTGTTCCACTTTGCCTTGCAGCCTCTGCCTCCCCTACCCTCCACCCAACCACTGACCCCTCTTTCTGAGGTCCTCTCCCACTATGTAGTTTTGATTGACAGTTGAAAGTGTGTTTGACTTAACTGCGGTTCACATCTATCCATAAAACCCAAGCACTTAGAAGAAACACAGTAGTCATGCTAACTGGATCTCTTGAGTTCCAGGGAGCATCCCCTTCTGGGGTTACACAGGCACAGCTGACATGTCTGATAGACCCATGGCTCCAGTGTCCCAATGCCAAGTGGAAGGATCAGTTCATTTGTTCCCTGTTTGCTTGTGCTGAATTCCAGCATCCCAAGGTTAGCTGGTGCCCAGGGCTTCACTGCAATCAGAAGGCTTGTGGGAAGTGATGCACTGTACTTCAAATTGTTGAAGAACCACCTGGCCACCTTACAATAGTGAAACTTCAGGAGCAGTCAACTTGAATTGTTGGTATAAAACTTCAGGATGATTGTAGTTGGCAAGGTTCCTTTGAGTTCATTTACAAGGTCTTTCAAATCAGTGTGCCGCCTGTTGTGTATGGAAACTTGATGGTAATAAGCAGTAGCCTTTGGGTCCTAACAGTTTGAAAGGCATCCTGAGGGAAGCATGCGGTCCAGGCATAGGTTGCAAGCACTTTTTTTCTGACAGTGAGAAGTGCCTTTTATGAAGATGGTTGGTTTTCTGGCATCCCCTTCGGTTAATTTTCTGAGCAGGCCTCATTTTTCCTCGCCTTCCTGCTCTGGCCATTCGGCAGTGGTGAGCTCTGAGTCTGCAGCTTCCTGTGCCCCATCAGTGTTGGATTCATAATTGGACCTTGAATCAGTGTAAATACGGTTTGTGATCTCTGACGGTTTTATACAAAGGTTTTTATTTTAATAATAAAAAAAATTTGTTCTAACATGTCCCTTTTTCTTCTTTCTTGTTGCTTAAAGATCTATCAGAAAGGGCAGTTAACAGGGAGTGGGAGAGACAGAGAGACATCTCTCATTTGCTGGTTCATTCCCCAGACAGCCACAGTAGCCAGGGCTGGGCCAGGCTGAAGCCTGGAGCCAGGAGCTTCTTCCAGATCTCCCATGTGGATGCAGGCGCCCAAAGCTTTGGGCCATCTTACGCTACTTTTTGCTAGGCCATTAACAGGGAGCTTGACAAGAAGTGGAGCAGCAGAGATCAAACCAGTGCTCATGGGATGCCAGCATCCGTGTGGCAGGCAGCTGCTTAATCCACTGTGCCAAAACATTGGCCCCTGTTTTAAAAAAAATTCAGAGGTCATTTCTACCTTTGACCAAAGTTTGTGAAGGTCAGGAGCCAGTCCTTTAGAACAGGGCCTCACTGCTGTGACCAATCTGGCTGATCAGAAAATTTAAAACCTGCAAGAAAACAGCATATGCCTGGGAAGTTAGTAGGCTTGTTCTTTTCCTTGCACTGTTTTCCAACCCCGAACTCAGGCAGTTTGACAGTATCTTGCTTGCTGTTCTCAACCCTTGAAATGTTTTAGAAATGTGTGCTGTGCCTGAGGCTCTTACACAATTGGAAGGCAAAGGTGTGGTCTGAGACGTGGCCCAGATTCTGGGATTCTTGAGACCAACACACAGCCTACCACGGGACAGATCTTGCTGCAGTCTATGTGGCTGAACCAAGTTTGAAGGCTTTGGATCTTACAAGGGTTTTTGTTCTTTTGCTGAATTGTGGAATATTTTTATTCCCTGCTCCCCTCTGCCCCCGACTCCAAACTTGGGAAGGGGCTTAGAAATAGAAGGACTTGGGCAGTGAGAGGAGCCAGGGTTGTCTGGAGGCTGCAGCTGGAGGGGTTTTGTTGGCATTTGCTGTTAGAAGAAGGAAGGAAGGAGAAGCACTTGTGGGCTCAAGGTTAAGTAGGAAGAATGAAATCAAGAGTTGAGTGTTTGTGGGGCCAGAGGAGGGGGCAGGTATTGGGGACTAAGGAATAACAGGTGAGCACGTGTGGACACTTCCCACATATTAATCACGTGGAAACAAATGCAGGGAAGTTGAAAGGGCCTGGTTGTATACAGGAGCGGAGTTTGGGGGATTAGATTGGGCTGGCCTTTGCAGGAGTCCAGGAAACAAAGGAGAGCTTGGGTGGGCCAGGGTCTCAGGTGTTGGGTTGAATGTACTGGGAGGGTTTTATTGTAGAAACTCTCCCGGTGGTAGAGGGGCAGGGCTGTGTGGGATGAAGGGATTAGACTATTGGGGAAGGTGGGTGGAGCAGGCCAGAAGGAGGGAGCAGGTGGAATTAGGGGTGGGGAGAGGAATTCGTTACCGGATTGTGAAGCCCAGACACCACATACCCTTCAAGTTTTCAGCCATGGGGTATTAAACCCTGTGTGGTAGAGAGGCCTCTGGAGACATGCTGGGCTGGGCTAGAAGGAAAAGCGAAGGCGAGAATGGTCAAGGAGCTGTTTCTTAAATGAGACAATGCAAGACAGACCAGAACTTGGAGTGCAGGTGGGAGCTGATTTCTATGCAGGGTGAGATGTCTTTCTCCAGTCAAGGACTGTTTGGAAATTCATAGCATCAGAAAGGGTCAATTTGTGGCCTGCCTATGGAACCTACAAGCTCACCTGGTCTGGCCTAGCCAAGGCAACCACAGGCAGAATAGGCAGCCTATAGATAGATCTGCGGCAGGCTAATTGTAAATGGATTTTCTGTGGTCCATGAAAGATACAAATATCTACATGGCCCTTGGCAGAATAAAGTTCCCCACCCTGACAGGCAGAATGACTAAGAGATCTTTCGTCCTCTGGTTTACCCCACAGATTCCTGGAACAGCCAGGATTTAGAACAGCTTGGTCAGGCAGGAGCCAGCAACTCCAGCAGGGTATCCCATGTGGCTGGTACAGGCCCAAGCACTTGGCCCATCTGATGCTGCAGTCCCAGGAGCATTAACGGAGATAACATTTATTTGAAAGAGGGACAAAAAGGGAGAGAGAAAGCTTCCATCTGCTGGTTTACTCCCTAAATTCCTGCAGTGGACAGGGTTCGGCCAGGCTAAAGCCAGAGCCAGCAATTCCATTGAGGTCTCCCACTTACTTGGCAAGGACCCGACTACTTGGATCACCTGCTGCTCTCCCAGGTGCATGAGCTGGATTACAAGCAGAGCAGCTAGAACTCCACTTGCCCTCCAGATAAAAGGATGGTGTTAACAAGCAGCGGTTTAACACGCTGGGCCCCAGAAATCAATTTTCTGGGAGGATTTATTGAAATATGGTATAGCAGAGAGAGAAGGTAAGACACAGATAGGTCATCCATCTGCAAATTCACTCCCGCAGTGACCACAATAGCCATGCTCAGCCAGGCTTAAGCTTTGTCCGGGTCGCCCACATACAGGGGAGACCAGGGGCCCAGCTGCATGGACCATCTTCCTCGATTTTTTCCAAGCACATTAAAAGGAGGCTGGATTTGATTAGTCAGGACTCAAACCAGGGACTATACGGGGTATCTGCATCACAGGTGGTAGCTTGGCCCTAATGCCAGAAACTTTTTAGAAAAGTTACAATTTATGCTGTAATGTTGAAACATCTGAGCAATTTTGTATATGTAAATCAGTACCTTCCCTCCTCTTGCCTCTCAGATCAGTGGCAGAGACTTCCCACTACATAATTGTCCACCCAGTCTTTTTTTATATATCTTTTTAATGATATATAAGGAAAAACAAACAGAATTGATTTTATTATACAAAGAATTCTTTAGCACTTTAAAAAGGTGCTAACTGGTATCCTTTGCAGTAGCCTAGTGGCTAAAGTCCTTGCCTTTCACACGCTGTGATCCCACGTGGATGCCATTTCAAATCTCAGATGCTCCACTTCCCATCCCCTCACTGCTTGTGGCCTGGGAGAGCACTCAAGACGGCCCAAAGCTTTGGGACCGTGAACCCACATAGGAAACCTGGATGAAGCTCCTGGCTCCTAGGTTCGGAATGGCTCAGCACTAGCCATTGCAGCCACTTGGGGAGTGAATCATCGGACAGAAGATCTTCCTCTCTGTAAATCTGCCCTTTTTAAGAAAAGATTTATTTATTTTTACTGGAAAGGCAGGTATGGAGAGGAGGGAAAACAGAGAGGAAGATCTTCTATCCGAAGGTTCATGCCCCTAGAGGTCCCACAGCTGGAGATAAGACATCTGAAGCCAAGAGCTCTTCCCAGTATCCACGCAGGTGCAGGGTCCCAAGGCTTTGGGCTGTCCTCGACTGCTTTCTCAGGCCACAAGCAGGGAGTTGGATGGGAAGCGAGGCTGCTGGGATTAGAACCAGTGTCCATATGGGATCCCCGCACGTGCAAGGCGAGGACTTTGGCTACTAGGCTATCAAGTCAGGCCCTAAATCTGCCTTTCTAATAAAAATAAATCAATCCTTTAAAAAATAGTTACTAATCATCACTGAAGTCTTCCTCAATTTCCAAGACATGACCATTTGGAGTTTCCTCGTGCTTAAGGAGGAAAAAATATGTAAATAAAATTCCTTTATGTAAATGCTTCCTGCAATTCTCATTGCCAGCCAAATTCTTATAAATCAGGATAAACAGCTGCTACTGAATGAAATGTCTAAGTTAAAATTATGGAGATAGAGTCTTATTTATCTTGTTTTCCAGTGTTGGAGGGAGAAAAAGATATTGACTCAATTTTCTCTGTCTGCCTGATGATCGGGGTAGGAACCAGGAGTCCATTGATGTGAGCGAGGGAAACTGTGGCCCCACGACAGGTAATGGGAAAGTCCTGTTGTGGCTTGGCACCATCGACCTTGCTAGACCTCTGCCTACTGCTGCTGTGGCTTGTTTCTTACACCTTCTGTAAAAATTAAAGTGCACATAACAAAAAATTTCAACTATTCCAGAATGATTTCCAATGTGTTCACAGGCCCATGCAATTATTCTCACCCTGGAAAGTCACAGCATTCTGATCACTCCAAAAGGAACCCTGGCCTGAGAAGCTGCAGTGCATCTGTTTCAAGTCTGGCCATTCTGCTTTCATCCGGCTTCTTGCTAAGGTAGTCCCGTGAGATAGCAGATGATGGCTCAGTGGACAGGCGGTTGATCCTCTGCCACCCATGTAAGACCAGACGGATTTCCAAGGTCCTGGCATTGGCCTGGCCCTTTGCTGACAGTTGACATTTGGGAGAAAACCAGTGGATGGATGCTCTTTATCTCTCTCTGTCTGTCTTCCATCTCCTTATCTCTCTGTGTCTCTCCCTCTAAAAGAGAGGCAGATATACAGAGAGGAGAGACAGAAAGATCTTCTATCCACTGGTTCACTCTCAAAGTGGCTGCAATGGCTGGAGCTCAGTAGATCTGAAACCAGGAGCCAGGAGTTTCTTCCAGGTCTCTCTTGTGGTGCTGAGGCCCAAGGACTTGAGCCATCCTCCACTGCCTTCCCAAGCTACAAGCAGGGAGCTGGAAGGAAAGTAGAGCAATAGGACATGAACCAGTGCCCACATGGGTTCCATGCGTTCTTGAAGGAGGGGGATGAGCTAATCAAGCCGTTGTGCCGAGTCCCAGGCCTGCTTACCATTGTGAGCATTTGGAGAGTGAACCAGTAGATGGAGTATCTCTCTCCTATTTTTCAAATTAAAAAATATTAAAAATGAAAACAAAATGACTGTGTTCTTAAACCTGATTAGTAGTTTGGTTGGAAAGATAATTCAAAGTCACATTAAATTTCCCACAGGAGTTTTATAGCTTTGATCCTCTCATCAGCATCTATTGTGCCCATGAGAAATTATTGCAATTCAGTCAGGTTACTTATTTATTTAGTTAGTTAGTTGGTTTGGAGAGGACCTGAATTTTCTACTTTTCAGGCTCTGGAATGTTTTCATCTTTAGTATGCTACAATTTCACAATGATAAGTGTTTTGTTGGTATTGTTTCTCG